GATCTGTTGAACACGCAATCTGATAACGATGATTTACCTTCCCCACTGTCCCCTTCTTACATCCGGAGCCTGAAATCGCGAAGGAAGATGTCACAGCATGTTCCCCAGCCGAACGGGGCGAAGCGCGCGGTAAATAGCTCCAAATTGCTTTCTTTGACTTTTCACCCAAAATTTCCGCTCAGCCTTCCGGCTAATGAGTATGTGTTAAATTGTTCTTCAGGCCCCAATAAAAGCGCGACGAGGAGGTATTAGTTTAGGTGGCAGGCGACAGCTGTCTCAAAGTGAGCTGTTTCGTCAGCCCGGGGCTGTACAGTTTGCATCACACCCCCAGTCCCGCCCCTGCCTGCTTTCAATGGACACGCATAATACCCCTACAAAACCAACATTAGTCGCACCAGACATTTTGAACAGCGTTTCGGCAAGCCAGCCGAATGCGGCTGCTCAACCAGAGTCTTCGAGAAATTCCTCGCCGGAGGCGGATTTGGAGGGTGAATCGCTAGATGAAAAGGCGCAGGCGCTGCTCCATCAGTTTCTTTGTACTAGCTCAACGAAATCTTCGAACGAGGTTGATTCTGGGACGGGTCCTGAACCAAGTTATATGCACGTTCAACCGTCTAATGGCTTGAAGCGGACTGCTGATGGCCAAGTTAAACAAGCTGCTTCCCATGGAAAGGGTCCTTCTTATGAGACGAAAGAGATTGGAGACTCAAGAAGCGATCTGACACAATCTGGAATCATTCATCCAAATAAAGGGCTTCCAGGCACGTCCCTCGGCCCTCAGAGTTCGAGTGGTGTGAAGAATACTACAACAGCAGCAACAACACCAAACATTCGTCTTCATTCACCAGCGAGAAGTACCCCTCCTGTTTCAGCGACACACTCTCAAAATGATGCACAAAACCCCGAAAATAAACAATATAGCACAACTAATCCTATCATAAATTCCTATTATAATGCCTCTAATATCTCTAACACTCAAAGTGACCCTCCCAGTTTACCGGCCACCTTCCCTTCTTCCAGTTCTTCCCTTGCTGTTGTCGTACGTCCATATCCCACCGACAGTGAGTTTATTAAACCTGGTCTACCGGCAAGTTCGACTTCGTTGTCTACGAAACACACAGAAAAGCCTCCAAAGAACAATCTTGGACCAAAGCCGAAAAATAAAGCCCTTGCGATGCCTCATTCTGACTCCGGCTCCGGCTACTACCAATCAGACTCCGCAAGTCATACTACTGTTGTACGGCGTCCTCGGCGAAGCCGTGCTGCCCCAGTCAATTACTACGCTAAAGTTCGCGGCTTCCTCGGTTACCAGTCAGATGAGGACGGGGAGGAGGCAGGGGAGGAACAGGAGAACCCCTCAGAAGTCAACGCGCCAAGAGATGACACAACGCACCAATCTCCATATGAGGAGCTCACCCCGGTTCCCGAACCTGCGGCTTCATTGATTCGCTCAGTGTATCGCGCTGGTTATCTTCAGGTTCAACAGGAACCTCTGCCCGCCCCAGTCGATGAAATATTCGAGGAATATGCTCCGTACTCTTCGCTACATGCTAGGATTGGGTATGGGGAGAGATGCACAAATGAACATTTTGAACTGGATGACCCCGACGGACGAGTGATACATGCAGACTTTGACCAGAGTGAAATGGAAGGGTTATTCCGCGTTATGACAGGGCAACCTGCAAATGAATCAGATATCGCGATTCCAGATCTGCTTGCCCAAGTCACCCAGAAATTTTATCCTCACCGCGATCAACAAAAAGCGCTGGCTCAGAAAATTTCAGACTTGAATGCTCTTCACAAGTCCTTACTCAGGATCACTGATGACCCAACCGCGTTCCTGCTCCATCACCGCGACAGAGAAAGTTCCTGGCGGGAATGCGATAATGAAACGCCCCAACGTGGGACAATACGACAAATCTTATCCTACCTTCATATAGTCCTCGGTTTGCCTGAGCCAGCCAATCGTGTTTACCATGTTCACGATATCTTGCAGAGAGTGCGCCAAACCAATAATGGCGACTTTCAGCATTTGATATCAGTCCTGAACTGTTTTAAACATCGTAGAAAGCGACATATTTGTGCCTTTCTATATGATGCTGCGAACGGACTTGTTTCCTCCGCGCCATACATTTTACGAGCTCTTTCATCCCACGCGGATTACCCGTCCCCTGACTTCGACTGTATGAGGCCCTCCGCTCTACTTCGAGAACGTGAATTAGGACAAAGGGTATTTCGGCGGAAGACTCCTATCAATCAGAAACTCCAATCAAGAAGAGGCTTGGAGCTCTGGAAGCGATGGAAAGGCGCATCGAATGATGTGATGGTCCTTGCTTGGTCCCCCGACGGAACTCGATTTGCTGCTGGCGCTGCTGCCCAGTCCGATGAGCATAATATGATTTATAATCGAAATAATAATCTTCTTCTTGGGGACCTAACTTGCAATTCGCTGAAGGAGTTACCCGACCACCGCATCTGTCGGCCTGTACCAAGCAACGTCACAGACCCTAGCTTATACATGACCGTCAGTGCTGTCAGCTGGCGTGGCGACTCTCTGTATACTGCTAGTTTCGATAACACAGTTAAGATATGGGACGTCTCTACTCACGCTGGTGCTAAATGCGTTAATACCCTACTACACGATGGAAGGGTTATGGATATGGCTGTATCTCGTTCTGGCTTCATTGCAACGGGATGTGACTCTTCTCCTCATATCAAACTTTGGACACAGACAGGTGGTCAGGACTACACAGTTACCGATCTCACTTGCAATCCAACCAAAAATGTGGCAATGACACCTTCTTCCTTAGCCTGGGGCCCAACATCTGCGGATAATATTCTTGTAGCTGGTCTTGCTGCTCGGGAGGATGAAAAGTTTCGAAACGGCCATCTTGCTCTTTGGCAGGTGGGACAATCAGATGTTTCTCCCCTGATAATCTCGCCTAATTCCCAGAATGTGTTCGATGTGACTTGGCATCCGACGGCTCCTATATTTGCAACTGGCAGCACTGTCGAGCTCTCAGTTAGTGCCGTGGGTCGTGCGAAAACGATTCGGTCCCTTGTCCGTGTCTATGACCCTTTTAGGCCGACGGCCAACTGGGGGGCTCACATAACTTATGAATGCCCAGCTCTGGATATCAACGACGTCACATTTTGTCCTGCCAATAGTAATTATATTACCGCTAGTTGCACTGATGGGGCTACTTACGTGTGGGATTACCGCAATCCCGGCCAGATCCTTCATAAGCTTGCCCATGGCGCACCCATTGCTGAACAGGATCCAAACGTTTCTCGAGAAAAACATGACATTGGGGTGCGTGTAGCCCTCTGGAAGGACAACTTCATTGATCAGTTTTATACTGGAGGGTCAGATGGTGTCCTTAAGAAATGGAATATCCTTAGGGCACCGGAAGATGTTCTAGTTGAAAATACCGCACACTTCGACCAGGGAATTATGTCCGGTGCCTTCTCTCCTGACTTCACAAATCTGCTTGTTGGAGATAGTTGTGGTAGTATACATGTTCTATCTAGCGCCCCATTTTCTCACGGGGGCACCAACATGGCTTACGAACCTGCTAGCAAGGAGAGACCTTCAGAGGACGATGACAGATTGGGTATTGAAACAGCCAAAGAGCTGTTAGAATCAGGAAAACTGAGCCGCCACCCTGTATTCGGCGTTGGCCAAGGTCCGCGCTATGACGGTCCATTTGCAGCATGGGCAAGACAAGCGGGGACTCCGAAAGAAGCTCTCCCTCATACACCCCTGCTGCCAGAAATCCGGGCCACACAGCTTGATAGATCTCTTAATCTCCGCCATCAGCTCGAGAGGGAAGATGAAAAGCAGCTAGATGCTAGGATACTGGGGGCAATTGCTCAAAACAAGCAGCGTGGGAGGAATAAGCGAAAGGTCCCTGAGGATGTTGGCAGACGTTATAATAATATTTTCCCATTTTCCCGCTCATCTTCTTATTCCTCTTCTCTCTCCCCTCTTTCCTATTCACGGCTTGGCTCACTCTCCCCCTCCATTTTTGTTTCTCACAAACATTCCGACAAGACCCATCAGTACATCAGCCTTCTTTCAGATGATGAATCAGGTCCTTCCTCCTCGTCCGCCCCCCCATGCTGCCCAGCTCGGATCAAGAGTGAGTTCTCATCGACGTCGAAACCGGCTTTCCCCCCTTGTATTGACCTTACAGGGGACTCGTCAGAGGATGAAGCGGCCCGGCATCAGCAGCAGCAGGGCAAATCGCACGGAGCTTTGTCGTTGGATGATGAGGATGTTGATTCGCTGTGCGAGCCGCTGGATGATGATTACTGGTGGCCGCGCAATTGCGATGTTGATCCTAATATTCGGCGGGACGAGGCGTGAAGAGGATATGCAGGAATCATTAGGGCATTTGTATGTATATAAGGATTGTGGGCTGTATTTATTTGAGGGAGTTTAGAGCGTAGAACTGCACCGGATTGTGGGCATGGCATGACCCTAGGAAATGAGGGAAATGGGGGAAATGGGGCGCGCACGAGAAAACATGGGCAGGCACCAGGGCTGAATTCATGAACGGCTCCCCTACTTGCACGGATGACTCCAATTATCAGCTTCTCTCGGATCCCAGGAGAGAATCCGTGGCAGATGTTTACAATGACCCTAATCAGTACGTAGTCCCGTGCTAGAAATATATGAATCACTGCATTGCGGAATTTCCTTGTTGCCCTTATTCTATCTTTTGCTATGCTTGTGTTATTTAATGGCCAGCTTAGCTTCTGATGATATCGCTATCCGGAGCACCGTGACCTTCACGACATGCGATCCTTTCGCCTTCTAAATTCCAGGGCCGGAGCCTAACCTACCCTCCCTGCTCTCACCCTCTAATTTCGTCTACTGATCGGGCGGTTGATACTTCACAAATTTAGTTGATGATACAGCCCCGCCAGTTGCCCATACATAGTCTGCTGCAAGCCACAAGAACGTTAAATCAACAGACCCTTCTCCCAGCTCACTCTCACTCTCGATCTTTTCCATATTCGCCTTGCAGAGTGGCCATCTTCCTGGCCATTGTGGCCGATTTGCTTGCTATAAACATTTTCACAACATGCTCATGCCCATATAGGGCAGCTATGAACAATGGCAGCCATGATGGATACGAAGGAGGAGAACTATGGCGGATGTCGTTGAACATCTTCACCACCTCGTGGTATCCGTGGCGCATGGCTTCTAGCAGATCTATGTATCCCTGAATAGGGTCAGGGCCATTAGCTTCTGCGGACAAAAAATGGCGAACGATCCCGTCATGTCCGTTCATCGCAGCCAGAATGAGGGCAAGTGGTTGTGCGGTCCGCTCAAATTCGCCCCTGCTATGTGCAAGCAACACTTCGACAAGCCATCCTTTCCCACGCAGAGCAGCAACGCACAGCGGCGTTCGTCCATACTTATCTGGGGAGGTGGTAGGGTCTGGGAGACCGCCTTTGGTAATCAGAATGAGAGCCTGTTCCGTTGACATCGCATGTCTATTTTTCACAGCCAGCCGAAACAGCTTGGTCGGGTGGAAAACACGCACGTCATCGATTTCCTCCTGTACCCACGTCGGCTTTGCCCCAGCCTCAAGCAGGAGCGCCATGACACTGAAATCACGTCGGCGCCATGCAGCCAGAAATGGTGTCTCATCGCCCTCATTATCTCTCGCATTAATGTCCGCGCCAAACTCTACCAGCAAACGGGCTATTTTCTCACTCTCTGAACTCGACCGAACATGGAAAAGCGGCGTCCTCCCTGTATGATCTCTAGCATCGATATCCACATCCCTTCTAAACACAAGAGATTCAACAGTATCATATTCACTAACCACTGTGGCATGCATAAGCGGCGTCATCCCTTCTTTATCACGCTGGTCAGCTATGATGCCCTTCTGCTCAAGCAACATTTGGACAATGTCCTTGCCTCTGTGGTTGGTCGTATTTATATTTTGTATCGCCAGCGTCAACACAGGTGTCCCGTCACTATTGAGAGCGTTAATATCTGGATCGCGAAGAGTGAGAAATAAGCGGAGAATATCCTTGTGGGAAGTAATCGATTCGATGAATGGAGTCGTCCACTTCTGAGTCTCCGTTCGACGATTCGCATCAACCCGACGATGATGCTCGAGCAGCATCTTAACGATATTTTTGTGCTGCCGCACTACTGCCCATGTCAACGGTGTATACCATTGGGGTCGGCGGCGTCCGGATGGATCTCTTCCGTTCCAAAAGGAGGCGAAATATCACTTCATTGCCGCGCACGGCGGCATGATTCAATGGTGTCATGTAGTTAAAATCTCCCTTGTTTAAGTCTATCCCTTTACCACCGCCGCCACAATTAGAAGCGTATTCCAGTTGTAATCGAATAAACCACACATCCTGCTTCACCACCGCATGCATCAACGGCGTCCTCTCCTGCTTATCCTCCAGACTCGGGTCCGCCCCATTCTCCAACAACAGTCGCGCAACAAGTTCACAATCATCTGGAGCTTTCGAGGAATAGACTGCAAGCGCCAGTGGCGTCATCCCATTCTCCTCCTTGTGGTTAACATCCGCCCCATGCTCCAGCAGCAGACGGGAGACAGCTATCCACTTGTTGTTAATCTCGCCTCTTTCCCCTTCCTGTTCTCCTTCCCCCACCTCAGTTCTACCCGTCCCTCTGAACAAAGAGGTACCCACAACCACCCTCCCCAAACAATTTCTTCCGATTTGATCCTCCTCATTCACATCCACCCCTTTATCCTTCCCGAACTCCTCCAACAACATCCTCACAACACCCAGGCGGCCCCTCTCCGCTGCCAGCGATATTAGCGGCACATAGGTCCCAGTCGGCTTGCCCCGGCAAATCGTCCTCTCCAAGACCCCAGGCACAATCCCTCCATTCCACCTAATCAACAACCTCAACACATCCACACTCCCCTCTTTCGCCGCACGCGAGAAAGGCGAGTCGGAAAAAGGATACGGACAGGGAATTCCACAAAACACAGGGATAAAGGCAGAAGCCCCCTCCTCCTTCAGATCACCGGGAGACCAAAAAACCCCCCCCGTAATCAAATTATTTTCCTTGCGATAAGAGGCGCTGAGAACCTTATGCGCCCCGTGCTCGAGTGAGTGCTCCGCCGTCGCAACGCGGTTGTGCCTGGCGGCCCATAGGAGGGCCGAGCAGCCGCAGTAGGAGATGTCGATGGCGTAGAGGGTTGAGTGGAGGATGGAGTAGGTGTAGCGGTTTTGGACGAGGAGGGTGAGGAGGTCGGAGGGCGCAAAGAGGTAGGACGCGATGGTGAGTAGGAGCTCTGCGGGTAAGGTTGCCAGAGACATTTCTTTTCGTTATTTGCTTCTTTCCTCTGGCCTCCTGGTTTTTATGGTGAAACTTCTTTTTCTTTGATTTTTGAGCTTTCCTGAGGGTTTTTGCTATGGGGGAGGAGGGGAGACGAATTGATAGGTAGGTGTTGGTTGAGTATAAATATGTGTGGATGTTAGGAATTGCTCTCTTGCTGTTGGTGCAGGATAAATGTTAGAAACGGTCAGTTCGAGAGAGGTGGATGCGGGAAACAAATAGTATGTAACAGAATATATCGATCATTAGATCAGTGACAGATATTCAGCTAGATAAAGTAAAATCGCCGAAGTTGAGCGCAGGCAGCTCCCGTGAACTAAATAAAGTTCCATCATTCATCATTGAAAGGAATTGAGTTTTCCGAGGTTGGGGTGAGAGGGTAAAAGAGTTATTCAGTTCATTCGAAGGATATTTTAGCATTCATGTATTGCTACTATGAAATTGTTATATACTATATCTATATACTCCGTACACACTTCTAAAAAGGGAAAGGAAAGAGAAAAAAGTTCACAAGAATGATTACACTTTAATATTAAATATTATCACATTCTTTTTTCTTCTCTTCTTCGCCTCATCATCTAATAACTCTTCTCTCAATCATTTTGAATATATTTCTCTCTCTTATTCATCTCTCTTTCTCCTCAATTCCTTATTGTGGTCCACACAAACATTTTTATGATATGGAAAAAAAAAAAAAGAAAAAAAACCTTTCAGTAGCCTCACAAGACACAGAGGTATATACATGCAAAGGAAAAGTAGAAAAAAACAAAGGAGGTAGTCAGCTCAGAAATGAGATGAGAGCGAAAATATTGAGAAACAGAAAAGGACAAAAAAGAAAGATGGAAAAAAATATCAAAATATTGAGTTGACATGTACTCGCAAAGTTTTAATGTTTGACATTGTCATTATGACAAAGAGGATGGATGATGATGCTCTCTGCTTCATCTCTTTTTCTTTTATCCACTTTTTCCTTTTGGTTTCTTTTCTTTTCCTAATCTACACACGCACACACATCTAAAAAAAAATAGAAACAAAAGTGAGAACAAAAAAATTTACCAGAAGCTAGAAAAAGCAGGAAGCGGAAGTAGGAGGATGGGAAAAGAAAAGAAAAGACAAGAAAAAATTTTAAATATTATATCACATCACAATACACAAATCTATGATTTCTCAAGCTCAGCCAGGATCTTCTCTCCCTTCGCGCGCGCGGACTCAAAGTCACCAACCATGTAGAAGGCGGCTGTAAAAAAGGCCAGGTTAGTTAAAATGTCGTTTTCATAGAGATATCGCAGAGGAAAATAAGGAAGTTATCGATTAAGAAGAAAAGGAAAACATACCCTCAGGAAGGTCATCACCCTCTCCGTTGATGATAGCTTTGAACGAACGGATGGTATCCTTCAGGTCAACAAGGGCACCCTCAATACCCGTGAACACCTGGGCGACAGTGAATGGCTGCGAGAGGAATCTCTGCAGCTTACGGGCACGCTCGACAGTCAGCTTGTCAGCCTCAGACAACTCGTCCATACCAAGAATGGCAATGATGTCCTGCAGCGACTTGTACTCCTGCAACATCTGCTGCACGCGGGTGGCGACGGCGTAGTGCTCATCACCGACGATACGTGGGTCCAACATGCGGGACTTGGAGTCGAGAGGGTCGACGGCTGGGTAGATACCCAGTTCGGAAATGCCACGGGACAAGACAGTGGTGGCGTCAAGATGGGCGAAGGTGGTGGCGGGGGCAGGGTCAGTCAAGTCGTCAGCGGGCACGTAGACGGCTTGCACGGAGGTAATGGAGCCCTTGGTGGTGGTTGTGATACGTTCCTGCATACCACCCATGTCGACGGCGAGAGTGGGTTGGTAACCGACGGCGGAGGGAATACGACCAAGCAGGGCGGACACTTCGGAACCGGCCTGGGTGAAGCGGAAAATGTTGTCGATAAAGAGAAGCACTAATATATGTGTGAGTGAGTGCGGTTCTGAGTCAATTTGCCCGGAGTAATTTATATGAATACATACCGTCTTGACCTTCCTCGTCACGGAAATATTCAGCAATGGTCAGGCCAGTGAGGGCAACACGGGCACGGGCTCCGGGGGGCTCGTTCATCTGACCGAAGACGAGTGCGACCTTGGACTCGCCATCGAGCTGGATAACACGGGTTTCCTGCATCTCGTGGTACAAATCGTTTCCTTCACGGGTCCGCTCGCCGACACCAGTGAAAACGGAGTAACCACCGTGGGCTTTGGCAATGTTGTTCTATAACGAGCTATTAGAAAAAGCCAAAAATTTTCCTCGCCCGTCATTTGTAGAGAGGAAGGGACGTACAATCAACTCCTGAATGAAGACAGTCTTTCCGACACCGGCACCTCCGAAGAGACCAATCTTTCCACCACGAGCGTAAGGAGCGAGGAGATCGACGACCTTAATACCGGTGACGAGAATCTCAGCGGAGGTGGCCTGCTCAACGTAGGCTGGGGCTTCAGCGTGAATGGGGGCCATCTTGGTGCCCTTGATGGGTCCTCTCTCGTCAATGGGATCACCAGTGACGTTCATGATACGGCCAAGGGTGCCCGGGCCGACGGGAATCATAATGGGAGCACCAGTATCGGTGACAGTGGCACCACGGACAAGACCCTCGGTACCTGGATCCACGAGTTAGACCGTTGCATGTGTCTTGATGTGGATGTTAAGGGCTGAAGGGAAAAACCTACCGTCCATAGCAATTGTTCGGACAACATTTTCACCCAAATGTTGCTGTATAACGTTATTAGCATAAGAATATAATGGCAACAGAAAGGTGGAATCGAGAAAAGAACTAAAAGAAAACTAAACAAAACATACCGCAACCTCGAGGACGAGCTTTTGGCCGCCATTGGTAGTCTCCAAGGCATTGAGAATGGAAGGAAGTTGTTCACCATCGAATTTTACTACAATCAGTGACATCAATTCGTCAGCATCGGTTCAGCCCAATTCGATGGCTTTTCAGCCATTGCGAGACAAATACCCAAGCCAAAAACCATTGACCCTCATAGACGATGAGGAGTATCGTTTCTGAGATGGATATTGACATTGAAGGGCTCATTGAATGGGTTATGTGTTGTCGTGGGCGTGAGGGGGAAAAAGGGCGAAGAAGCAAGTTCTCCATATCTCCACCAAAACAACAGCAATAACAATAACAAAGGGAAAAAAAAAAAAAAAAAGCATACCGTCGACAACGGCACCAATGACCTGATGGATCTTGCCAGGCTGAGCGGCGCTGGTGGACGCATATCTAGCCGCCAGGGAGCGCAGGGCCGGGTTCTTGAAGGGTTGTGCGAGTCTGGAGGTTGGGAGGGAGGTGGAAGGCCGCGCGAAGGCAGCAGACCTGGCGAAGGTCCGGGCAACACCGCTGCGCACAATTGACGGTTAGCATTGACGGATGCCAGGGAGGCAGACGAGGAGAGGAGATTCAGCGGTCTCACCTCTTGAACATGATGGAAGTGGTGGATGGGGAGGAGTGGAGGGCGAGGAGGAATGGGCGGGAGAAAAGCGAGGAGGAAAGGCAGAGGTTGAATGAAGGTTGGAAGAAGTTGTTCCCGTTTCGTTTGGTGTGGAAGATTCTGAAAAGGGCTAAGCGCGGAATGCACGCAAAAGGGTTAGGCGTCGGATGGGGCCGGGTGCCCGTATGCGTATTGACAGGTATCTAATACCACCTGGCGGCCTGGGGTGGCAGCAAGTCGCAAGTCGCACGGCCGAGGATGCTGTATAGGATTGTAATAGTACGCCATATTACAGTCTCATACACCCAGATGCTCGAATAGCCGCATACGCAGCGCACGAACAAATATTACATAGATTACCGTTAAATTACCCCCTAAAGCAGCGCTGGATCCACCACCAAAAGCCGGAAGAACTGAAACCAATATCGATTCTTGGTTGCATTTTAGATACACTCAAAGAGTTATATAAAAATGAACAATTCCCATTTAGTTACCAGATATACGGTCCAGGGATGAATTTGCCATTTCAATTAACTAACTACAAGTCGAACCAGTTCCTCTAACTTTATTACTTCATACGCACATAACTGCTCCATTCTAGGTATCCTCCTCGAGCGCGAGAACCTATAACCCATGTCAGCACATCAGAATATCCATAACACAGAATGAGAACCTTGGAATAAAAAGGCTTAAACCTACCAATGCCGTCCTCGTCGGCACATAAACCATCAAACTATCCTCCCTCCCATCCCACCCTTCCCCCCTAGTAAAAAACCTCGTCCCCGCCTCAACCCTTCCAAACCCCCCAAACTTCTCCGCATCCGTATCCAGCACAATCCTATACGTTCCCCCTTTCCTCCCCACCCCAACCTTATAGTCCGCCCAGCTCTTCGTCGCATGGAAATTAAACACCCACACGAGCCCCGCGCGCTCAAACACAATCACCTTATTCTCCTCATGCTTCTGGCTCACATATCCCTGCGTCGCGTGCAGCCAGCCATATTTCTCTTCAGCAACCTGCATCGCCCGGTCGAAGTCGTTCAGGAACTTGTAGCGCAGCAGCGGGTCCTCCGTGAGATTTAGCTGCCGGCGCGCGTACCAGTAGCTGTTATCGTTGCCGGCGCGGGGGAAATCGAGCCATTCCGGGTGTCCGAATTCGTTCCCCTCGAAGTTCAGGTATCCTTCGCCCCCGAGGCCGTGCGTTAGCAGCCGAATCATCTTGTGCAGGCTGAGCCCGCGCGCGATGACGGGGGTTAGTTCCGTTAGAATGGACATGTTGGTGTAGAGTTCTTTGTCGCAGAGCCACATCATGAGCGATTTGTCGCCGACGAGACTATACATATCAATCAGTTTATCAGGATTAGATTAATTTTGTGTGTGTTCTTGGGGGAATGTCAGGGGAAAGGACGTACGCTTGGTCATGGCTCTCGGCGTAAGCGATCGTCTTCTCACCATGGCGTCGATTGGTGAGGGTGAAGGCAATATGGCCCATGTTCCATTCCTCGTCCTGTTGCTCCTTGAGGAGCTTAATATACATATCCGGAATTGCCATGGCGAGACGATAATCAAAGCCTGCCCCGCCAAGGGTAAGTGGTAGACAGAGCGCTGGCATTCCAGAAACGTCCTCTGCGACTGTGATGCAGTTCGGGTAGATCTGGTGGAGCATTTCATTGGCGAGCATAAGGTAGGTGATGCCATCTTCATCGACGCTGGGGCCGAAATATTCGTGATAGCCACCGGAGAATCCGCTGCGAAATTGTTAGTACCACCACAAAGTACACAAAGTACACAATCTCAAAATGGAAAAAGATAAAAACTTACGTCCCAATTCCATGATGCGTATACATCATACTCGTAACCCCATCAAACCGAAATCCGTCAAAGCAATACTCCTCCATCCAGAACCGCAAATTACTCAACAAAAACCTCAACACCTCATGATTCCCATAATTAAACAACCGACTATCCCACAACTCATGATGCCCCTTGGGGCCCGCATGGAAATACAAACCATCCGTCCCGTCAAACATATTCAGCCCGTCCAACACATTCTTCGACGCATGGCTATGCACCACATCCAACAACACCACCAGTCCTAATCCATGCGCCGTGTCAATGAGCTCTTTCAGCTCCTCCGGCGTTCCGTAGCGGCTACTGGCGGCGAAGAAGTTGTTGACCTGATACCCGAAGCTGGCGTAGTATGCATGCTCCATGATGGCCATGAGTTGGATGGCATTGTACCCTAAACCGTGGATGCGCGGGAGCATGTTCTTTGTGAACTCTTTGTAGGTAGCCACGCGGGTCTCCGGGGAGGAGATGCCGACGTGGGCTTCGTAGATGCGGAGGCTGACGGGTTTAGGCGGGCGCGGGTGTTCGAAAGTATAACGGTCCTGCACTGGTGGGTTCCAGAATACGGCGTGGAATTCAGGGGAGAGGGAGAGGTTTTGCGTGACGCGCTTGATCCAGGTTGGGAAACGGTCGATTTGTTCGCCGGATGGAGTAGTCATGGTTATCTGTTCATATATTTCACGGTTTCGAGGATGTTATTTAGTATCTCTCTGTATAGAATTGCTTCGGGGATGGCGGGGAGAGAGGAGAATAGTCAGAGCAGCTCACCTTAACCTTGCTGCTATGTGGAATGGTCGGGACCCCATCCTTTGCGGGTACTGTAACCTCCCAAACCCCAAAGTCATTCCTTTTCATCGGTGTCGCCTTGCGATCCCAGTTGTCTGGAGCACGGTGTTCACCCCTCCATTAGCTCTCTAGCCAGCTAGAATACCAACCCCAATCTCCCACCAGCATGAAGTTCCCACTCACTGAAATCGCCAATGAGATGCGCATCCACGACATTGGGCGCCCATTCCCGGTAAACAATATCTCCATTTTCCTTGACATTGAAGCCGAATTTCTCGTAACCCTGCAATCAATATTCATAGAACCATCAGTACGATCTGAAGCGTTGAATCGTAGTGCGGGGTATTCCAGGGGCAGGTGAAGCAACACACCCGACTGAAGACTTCCAACCCGCCCTCCGTCTCATTGATAGTCCGTATCCACTGGTTCGTATGGCTGAATCTACTCCGTAGCGCATCCTTGAACGGCTCTAGCCATGGATCTAGCTTGATAACTCCTATATAATCATCGTTGCACCAATACACATCATGCGGCCTTTGGCATCAGCTTGGGAATCCTGAGCTAGGAAGAACCACTTTATCGCGATAGGACGTTTGCTTCAACAAGTACTGTACATAGGTCTGCAAACGTGGAAATCTTGACTGACCTGTACCATCTGGAGCCGTCTCACTGGCCACTGCGGCCGCAACGGCATTGTCAAGTCCTTGCTTGAGCGCCATTTGACGGGAGGTTTTGCTCTTGTCCTCAGCTGGGTAGCGAAAGTAGAGGAATGACTGTCGTCACTGTTACTTTTTAAGCTTTCGGCGGGTCCTACGGCTGTGAGCTACAAGCTGCAAAGTAATTATATGAATAGAAAGTCAATTGCAAATGGTTTATGGTTTATTTGGTAGTTACAATAGCAAAGTGAGAGTGAACGAGGAATTGGACTCATAATCGAGAATTTCGTGGGTTTCTGGCTGCCAACGATAAAATATCCAGGTTTATCGGCTTTCGCAAGGATGGCTGTTCCAGAGCGTCATAGCCCCGATCAATGGCCACTTGATTATCGGCTTGCTCGGCGGTGGCGACGAGTGTGGTATTTTTTTTTTCTTTTCTTTTACATTTTCCTATGTTATTTATTAGATGCAGCACGTAGGTGAATTAGATTCCACATAAATAACTCAATTTAATACCAACAGCGCTTTGCTTTTCTCCATGGCGATGTAATCACCACTGTATAAAAGTGACTTTGTAAAAATCAATATCATCGCCTCTTTTGTCTCTACGGAATATATTCTTAAACCAACATTTGTCCTGAAACCTGTAGTAGTTCAGTAGTTCATCAAGCTCCCTGTTCGCTACGAAGGAGCTAGCTCAGATTTATACCCAGCGGAGCACTGAGCCAAAAATGCCCTGATCTGACCTTCCGCCGCTCATTAATGAACGGCCGCCAAGGCCGTCAATCGGCGGAATATCTTGGCTTCCGCCAATCCCATTCCATTCCGCCCCAGAGGAGCAATCCAAGCCCTAGTTTTGACGAGTCAGCTTTGAACTTGAACTTTTACATGTTGGCAAGCAGAAGTTCTGGACACTCTCAACGACAAATAGCAGGACATGTCCAACCGGTCACCTTTCACAGCCTGTTCTTAGTTCGCCATTACTAGAAACACCCCCGGCAGATCGCCGCAAGAGACAATAGGCGATGCCCAGGCGCTCGCATCTTAAGTCGAGGACTGGGTGTAAGACATGTAAGAAGAGGAAAGTGAAGGCAAGTGCGTGAAGTTGAGCGGTTGCATCTCCCCAGCGAAATCATTTATGCTGAGAATCATGCAGTCCTACTCGTTAACGGAGAGAGCAATTGCTTTCTATCTTTGATTTTTGTTTCTATCTGCTCTCTCCTCACTTAGTGGCGTTCTCTTTCCCTCTTTTAGCCCGTCAGTTAATTCTCACGCGGCTAACAAGACGTGACATATCTAGTGCGATGAGCAACGCCCATCATGCCGCAACTGTCTCAAACGCGGCGCTGACTGCGATTTCCTAGCCGAGTCAGGCGTGTATCCCAACTATCTCACAGATAACACAGGCGTCTCTGCGCTGAACATGCTGGACCTGCAACTCATGCACCATTTCTCAACGTCCATATACGCCACTCTCTCCTACCATCCGCCCATACGGAACTTCTAGAAGGGCCCCCGTTGTCCAAATGGCATGCGGATGCGACTATGTGATGCGAACCGTCCTCGCGGTCTCGGCGTTGCATCTTGCGCATCACTCACGCGATCGCAAGGAGATATATACTTCTACCGCGCTAACGTATCATCGCATTGCCGCGAGGGAGGCAATGAATCTAATGACGAATATCAAAAAGGAGGACGCGAATAAATAATCTGTTTGTTTTCTCTGTCTTGACTATCTTTTTCGGTTCGTATTCTACTTTTATATGTACTGTACATGTACTTGTACATATATATCAAAATCAACAGCACCAGCTACTGACCCCCCCCCCACCACCCAGCCCTAGGCGGTCCAGAAGGTTCGTCCGGAGACACCTTCTTCTTCGAAGACAGCAGCTTCCCCGAGTGGCTCTTCCTCCTCCGCGGGACAAAATCTCTTCTAGAAGTACTAGGCCCAGAGCTGATGGAGGGCGCGCTGAGCCCAATGTTTGCGCAGGCGAAACGCTCCCGGCGATGGACGAAAGACATGCCCCATGGCGCCGACACGCCAATGAAGGTCCCACTGGACGAGCTGGCGGCGCTGGTCCGCACCACCGTCAGCGACGAGCAGGCGCGTGACATATACGCGCACGCCATCGACGAGCTGCTGAAGCTAGCGGAATCGTTCACCGATGCGTCGCAGCTGGTCGACATCACGCATGCGTTTACGTGGATCTATCTGGTCCTCGATGAGTTCCTGCCCCTCCTGAAGGTGCCGACCCAGGAGTCCGTGGCGACATTCTCGTACTTTTGTGTCTTTCTTAAGCGGCTGGAGATTCATTGGTGGATGCAGGGGTGGAGCGAACGGCTCATACGTAAAGCGTATAAAATTCTCGACGAGGAGCATAAGTTGTGGACTACTTGGCTGGCAGAGGAGATTGGCTGCGTGTTTGAAGGCTAATCAGGGGGGTTTTTGGATTGATGGATTTATTGGAGATCTTTCAGAGCGTACTGTGAGGGGGATACGGACGCTGGATATAGGTCACTGCTGAATTATGCATGCTGGTGCTACATCTTTGGGAAGACCGACGGTAATCAACATATTGTCCCGTATCAAAATATTTGACTACTCTCTAGGCCGAGGAACATCCCACGCTGCGTGAGTAGCTCACCGTGTACAGCAATAAAATAGAGATGAATGAACCCTCATCCCCTGATTTGACGCTTTGACGCGCCTGGCCTAGAAATACAGAAATGATCAGCCCCGAAGGAGGATAGATGGAGCTTGGAACGCGGTGAATGGGTGCAAACTCTGAGACATCGAACAGCCGCCTGGGTATGCATTACTCCGAATGCTCAATATACAATACAAAATGCTTAAGTTTAAATCTCTATATGATCTATGTACCTGTACATCCAAATGAATTGGAATTGGTGGTAAAAAGGGGGGAGAACTCGAATTCCTTCCAACCCCACCACTGGCTGGCCCCTGAAAAAGAGTATTTTGGTGCCAACCCTCAATGCCATGCCAGTTACTACGGGCTGGGCAGGCCAGGCCTCGCCAAAGATAATCGAAACACAAAAAATATACGTTTAAAACATGCGTTCTAAGTACGTGGACGTAATTCCTCGAGCATGCCATCCTGCGATTCGACCCGTTCCTCCGATTCCTCCGGCTTATCATGCCCCCATTTCGATTCCAGGTCATCGATATACCAAAAGAGAAATATGCTCATAACGCCCACCATAAGAACCATGTCAAAGATATACAAGAACACCTCGTGGGAGATGAGATAGCCGCCGTTGCCCTGCAGGTACTCAACGACGCGAAAGATACTCCGGACCAAGATGATGGTGCTGGAGGCATAGAGGGCGAAAACGTGCCGTTTCCACGGGATCACGCCGTGCGTCGCGGTGGGGGTCGGCGCGTTGGCGACCCGGAGGTGAAACAGGACGGTCGTGACCACGAAGAAGCCGAAGATGGAAATCTGCGTGAACAGGCCGGCCACGATGATCTTCTCCCCTAGCTCGAACAGCTTCAGACTCCTGCCGCCCTGGATGCCGCCGCCGGCGGCCTGTAGGCTGAAGGAGAACACGTCGCCCGTGACGAAGATCTTGGTGACCCATTGCACGGGGATGAGGGAGAGGTGTTCGGCGCGTAGGGTCCGGATTAGGCGACCGAGGATCATGTAGATGGAGGCTGCGAATAGAGCGGGCGCAACGAGGATGAGAATGGCCTGGATGATGAAGCCGCCGAGGGAGAACTTGTCATAATGGCCCCAGAGTCTTCCACAGTAGCCGATTGTTTCAACTTGAGGGAAATAAATTCATTATTACTACATATCTTCACAGGTAGGTTTTGTTTTTACCTCGTTTCAATGGCATTTTCTAAGAGGATAGGACTCACATAGACCGCCGACGGTAAAGGCTGTGAAGTAGAAAGCCCGCGCACGCAGCAATCGCCAGGTATGAGCGGCTGTTAAAAATCCGAAAACAACAACGCTGATGATGGCGGCGGGAAGCGATGGGATGTATCTATAGAGCTCGAAGTCGAAATGGGGACCCATGTGATCATATCTCCCACTACCTGCACCTGCACCGCCCTGCGCGGCGTCGGCCATGTTCCAGCTTCCTTTTCAGGTGGTGCCAGGCGCTCTTATAAAGTTTTAGCCCAGAGGGCTTGATATTGATAGGAAGATTTAAAAACGTAGGTTGTTTGATATTGAAACTTTGAGAGACGAAGCTGTGCGCTTTCTGTGCTCAAGTTTGGGGGTAGACCGCGGTGGTGGTGATTAAAATAGGATCATGGAAAGCTCAGCTGTTCTCCATATTGAGAGGCGAGCTTTTTCTTATTTAGACAGCATCAAGCAGTGAGGTTATTATTATTACGAACGAACGAACGAACGAACGTGCTTGGAGTCTTGGAAATCCATGGGCGGAATTTTTCGTCCACCCAGTTGGCAAACGTCTGGGCCGGGATGGTAGGGTAAGGGGGGGGGGGGGGCGGGGGTATTTAGGCCTCCTATGAAAAGCGAGTGCGAAAAAATCGCGAGGGGTCAGCAGCACCACCGCACCGCCAGCTGCCAGCCTGCCACTGGAACTTGGAAGCTGGAACAATAAAAATAAGAATAGTGGGCTCGGATAGACGAGACGATGGAGCGCGAGCCACTGGCCCACCGAGCCAGGCAACTTGAGGCAAGGCCCTTGCTATGAAATCATTAGTAGTATGTATGTATGAAGGTGTAGTAGGTATTCGGGGTGGAGCTATCCATAGCGAAGAATCAAATCATCCAATGAATGTTCTCTTCCGGATGTCTCGCTGGATCTCCTCCGAGTATTATAACTCCAGTGCAGTGCAAAGAGCGACTCGCTTGTCTTCAGGGCAATGTTTCAGCTGCCAATTCCTGGCTTGGATGGAACCTATATATATATATTGTACAGAGCAGAGGAGACAATACCTATTACCAGCAGCCGTATCTCACTCTCAGTGAGCTCTCTTCATGTTGCAGGTATAAGTTATATATAAGATAGACAAGGGGGTACCTGTCAGGAGCAGTGAGCGCTGTTGATGTTTCTCACAAAAATGTTGCTTGACATTCTGTGTGATAAGTTAGATATTAAACAGATCTTGTTGTCTGTTTGTGTATGATTTGCTGTAAATATTTAAATATAATAAGAAACGTGGCAGCGGCTCTTTTGGCCAATGAACAGCTGTCAAATAATTGTGTAAAATACACAATTTAGTTGGCTTCAAATCTGGGTTTATGAATAAATAAATATTTAACTAACTGTGATTCTGTTTATACTCACTGGTCAGGCAGTATTATATTATTCAATACTATCTGATATGTATGTGAAGCTCACATTTTCGGATATTCAATACTTCAAAAGCAGTCAAAAGAATTCATCTGCTTCCTGTGCTAGATATTTATCACTTTATTATCAACAAAGACAAATTCAACAAAGACAAATATGAAGGCGCTAACTAGATATTGCGAGAGATCTCTCCCCCTCCCCCTGAGAGCATTCTATGTATCAAGAAGATGAAGAGGAAGGGGGAGATTAGATGGCAAATTCAGGCTGCTCTATCTCTCATAAATAATTCACTATAATATCTTCTCATATTAATTAAACTTCCTCATCCGCAAAATGAAAAATGATATATCAGCAAACTCGCTTCGAAAAAGAAGATAGAGAGAAAATATCAGTATTTATTGTCACTACCTCCCTTGTATCAGGGAGAAGGTTGGGATGTGATTTTCATTAGATAACTAAAAGAATTCATCAAAAATATACACAGTACATTGACAGCCCATTCATCCCATATAAAACCATATTTAATGCCAGTAAGTTCATCATCTTCTTTCACTGCTCATTGCAGTTCTTAAAAAAAATAAAAAAAATAAAAAAAATAAAAAAAAAATTTAAATTAAAAATAAATAAATAAATAAAAATAAAAAATAAAAATAAAACAAATCTATAACCCAATCTAGCTACTTGCCTCTTCTTATCCCGGCTAATCTAAACCCCTCCCCCGCTTTCCCCTCAACAGTCTCCAAACCCTCCTCAATCCGCCCATACCTCGCGAACCAATAATCCCCCAAATAATCCCCCCGGGGCAACCACGGCCTCCGATTCGCCGCCTTGGGCATCAAATTCTCCGCACGCACCACATACGTCGACGACAGACTCAGCAGCCGGCGGCCCTCCAGCGTCGACGCCTCCTTCGCATCCAGCCGCGGCACGGCAGCCACCAACCCATGCTTCTCCATGTGTTTCAGGAGCCGCACGATGAAGTGCGCCGTGGCATCTGCGCCGAGGGTCCAGGAGGCGTGGGCGTAGCCGATCACGAAGGACGCGTTGGGGATGTCTTGCACCATCATGCCGTTCCAGATGTACTTATCTGGGATGTGGATGGGTTTTTGGCCGTCAACGGTTATGCGCGCGCCGCCGGCGATGAGGAGTTTGAGGCCTGTGGCTGTGACGATGATGTCGGCGTCGAGGTGTTCGCCGGAGTTCAGCTGGATGCCTGTCGGCGTGACTTGTTTGATGGTGTCGGTTTTCACGTCGGCGCGGCCGGTGTGGAGGCATTTGAAGAAATCGCCATCGGGGGAGACGCAGAGGCGCTGGTCCCAGGGGTTGTAGCTGGGGCGGAAGTGGGGGTCGTGCGGGATGTGTTTGGGGAGCTGGGCGGAGACGGAGAGTCTGAGGATGCGCCGGGCGAGCCAGGGCATGGATTGGCAGAAGGTGTAGAAGAGGCGGGTGGTGAGGATCCAGATGACGCGCTGGACCCTGTGGTACAAGGGGCGGGGTAGGAGGTAGGAGAGGAGACTGCCACAGTTGGGCAGGGAGAGGATATAGGTCGGGCTGCGCTGGAGCATGGTTGTGTGGGCGGCGCGTTGGGAGATGCTGGGGAGTAAGGTGATGGCAGTTGCGCCGCTGCCGATGATGACCACCTTTTTGCCTGTGTAGTCGAGGCTTTCGGGCCAGAATTGCGGGTGGATGGTTTGGCCCTCGAAACTGCTCATGCCGGGGATGTCAGCTTCGAGCGGTTCAGTGTAATTGTAGTAGCCGGTGCCGAAAACGACGAAGCGCGCAGTGTAGGTTTCCGTGGTCCCCTGGCAGTCGACCTGGAGAGTCCATCGATTGGCGGTGCTGGACCAGTCGGCAGCCAGCACCTTCTTGTGGAAGTGGATATGCTCATCGATGCCGAATTTCTGCACAGTTTCCCGCATGTAGGTCCTCAGCGCGGGGCCTTCAGCGATGGGGTTGTTCTGGTTCCAGGGATTCCACGCAAAGCCAAATGTGAAGAGATCCGAGTCAGAGCGGATGCCAGGATACCTGAACAGGTCCCAGGTGCCGCCAATGGCATTCCGGGCCTCGAGGATGGCATATTTGTAGCCTGGCAGCTCGCTCTGGAGGCGGTAGGCCGTGTTGATGCCCGAGATGCCAGCGCCGATG